GGTGTCCAGGTATTCCGCTCCGTAGTTTCCTGTGTCCAGGTGTTGGATGCGGAAGTCCAGGGTATCCAGGAATTCCGCTCCGTAGTTTTCTGTACCTAGATGTCGGACGTAGAAGTCCAGAAAATCGTGCAACAAGCTTTGGCGCTTCGCTCAAACTATAGTATCCTCTCTGATATTCGCACGGCCTGAGGTACGTAAATAATCCAGCACACTCTCCTCTCTTATGTTTACCACACAGCTTCAACAAGCTGGACACCATTAACGACGCTTATATTCATTGAAGATTACATTTTCTTTAAAAATTTGTATATGTCTTTATGCATTTCTAGAAAAGGGACTTACACATTAAATTTATATGCCATTAAACATTTTCGACAACGCAATATATTTTTCTGATTAGCAACATCATAATGCATTTACATTTTATATCTGTGACAATATAGATTTCAGTGCTTAGAGCTTCTACGTCCCGTTGAGTAACAAAAACTTCTGATATTCCCCAAAAAACACTTACGTGTAAAAAACTACGCCAAGTACAGGAGTGCTGTGTATTCCTCTAATAAAAAATATTGATATCAGATTATTGAGGCCAAGTAAATAAGTCACTACATGTTTGCCTATTATATGATCTAGCACTGGCCCATCATTTTAATTGTATTTTCAAAATTTTCTATAACGTTTTCACTACTCTTTTACATTACTAATGCTTCTCGTAGTTGATTGTGATTTAATGGTTATTTAATAATTAATAAAACTTTAGCTGATTCCTTATCGAGTACTACTTGGCGGGTCCGTGCCAGAAATTCCAAAGTACTTACTTTGAACGTACTAATAGTATCCCAAAACTATATGTTTGTTATTAAACTTTTACCGTGATTATTTTTGACGGGTTATCGTTAATAAGCTCTATATAGAAAGTTGACATTGGTTTTGAGTTTAATGACTGGCATAATGAACGCAAATTTATATCAAGAAATGCACAGATCCGCCAAGTAGTACTCGATAAGGAATCAGCTAAAGTTTTATTAATTATTAAATAACCATTAAATCACAATCAACTACGAGAAGCATTAGTAATGTAAAAGAGTAGTGAAAACGTTATAGAAAATTTTGAAAATACAATTAAAATGATGGGCCAGTGCTAGATCATATAATAGGCAAACATGTAGTGACTTATTTACTTGGCCTCAATAATCTGATATCAATATTTTTTATTAGAGGAATACACAGCACTCCTGTACTTGGCGTAGTTTTTTACACGTAAGTGTTTTTTGGGGGATTTATTTTCATCGAAAGATGAATGCACGTGTACTGTACAGTAACATAGGACGATTCACGAAAATCTTATTTATCCATACATTTTTATTATTCACGTTTTCTTTTTGCTTTTTCTCTAATTCAGTGATTCACAGCGAAAACTGCATAATATAAGAGAGTTGTCCTATGATAAATATATCGTCCTGTTTTTTAGTCTAGAGACTAAATATTTCATATAAACAGTTTTGTACTGGTTTGTTATCATTTTTCAAATACGTTTTACTACGAAAATCATTCGTACTAGTCTATTGATAACATACCCATGTACAGCGTTAAACTTATTACGCAAGCACGTCCCTATCCACCGGTAGGCAAACGACCAGAGAACACGCTGCGTGCTCAGGTCAGTTGTTGGGATGCTGGTTACCCTTTGGGAAATGTAGCATAACTGGCGTACTGGCCACAACAATGCAACGTTGTAACGTTGTAGCCGCATACAGGTGTAGTAAGGTAGCAACAGCCGAGCAGCATATGAGTAACCGTTTAATTGAAATGTACCAGCCAGACCAAAGAGAGACTATCCCGGAGCCAAATAGCTGAATTATATTGTACGTTTTCAAAATAGCCATATTTCGAAAATGTCAATTATTTCCATTAACAGAATTTGTTTTTTATTATCTTGCCGCTGGCAACTTTCCTTTTGTTTTTTTTTTTAAATTCTATTACGGTCGCTGCTATGTTTGTTGTTGCTGTTGCTGCTGTTATTTCAGTGTTATTCATTGATCAGCCAGACCAATTAGAACGCTCCCAAGAGACACTTGATTTTTTTCATCACAAGTCGTATGTGATGTTTCCCTCATTTGTTGTGTGTGCGGTACACGCGTAACAGAGAATACCAACATACAATGTATCAAACAAAAAAAAATTATCAAAATACGAAAAAAACAATAGAATAAAAATCAATACAGAAATTTCTTTGCAATAAAATTACTTCGTCAATTACAATTGAAAATTCTATATTATCTACAAATATGGATGACGTGTGCTAAAATTGAAGATGTGTTCATTAATTTGGCGAATTGGTAATCTACTTGAGAAATGGGGTGGCGGAGGAAAAATAAGAATAATGGAAAAATAAGGTTCAAACACTGGTAAACTTGTACTGTGTAGAATTTATACCCGTTAATTAAGGGAATCCTTAATGGGGGTTGCTCACTTCTGAGGTAAAACTTCAACAATTAACTTTCCGGAATCTAGACCTTTCCGACACGCGTGTGCGCTCATTTATACCCACACCGGGTCAATTTAAACAATGTGCCGCCACGTGGTTTCCACTGACATAGACTGGGTACTGCGTACGTTGGTGGTTTCTCGTATTTCCAGCCGGCACGAATGAAACAATGCTTCCCCGGCCGGATATAATTTGACCAAGTAGAGTCAATGAAACAATAGAGAGTTGGTAGTGAGCTAGACTCGTTCGTGGGTCGGCAATGCTTTTAGTATACATATACATACAGTCTAGTAATAGCATGATTTATTCTACAACACTGCCTAATGCTACTCATTATGTTGATAAACTAATCGACACGTGCCAATAATATACTGCCCTTTGTAAGAGTAACAACAAATGTAATGAAATTCCTTCCAGCTGTTTGATCTAAATTAGTTCCAACAAAATCTACAAGCTGACTCTATGTGACGCATCGCTGCTAAAAAACCAATAAAGAATGTACCAGTTGCACTTTGGGAATTAAATCGCTCCTGCAGGAGCACTATCTTCTATTCCTTTTTCATTCTCCAAAGCAACTGGTTGTGCTCGAAAAATACAGGAGAATATCGATAAATTATTAATAATGGAAAAAAGGAGCTCAAGAAGAGTAATCTTGCTGGTTTTAATTTTCCAAGTAAATATAAACTTTCATAAGGCAATTCCTTCGAAAATAAATAACGTCCGGTATCGTTATAGCGAAGAGGATGGTGGCCTGAATTAAAAAATTTCAACTCGCGTACTTGTCCGTCAAAAAGAAATACACCATCGCTTACTCGAACTTGAGGGGCCTAACCCCCATGGAGAATATGAAAGCTAAACATGAAGGATTGAAAAAAAAAGAAGCAACAATTCTCAAGCACTATCAAAATTTCAAAAGTCAGACCGTACGCACAAGTCTCGCCTTCATTCCCCAGCAAAGTTTTTCAACTTTTTCCCCAAACTGCCAGCGTTGATGAACAACAAGCAACTACGGCCTACACACATGGTCCTGCACGTACGCCTCACACAGGTACTGTTAAGAGCTAGGAGAGGCCAGTCTCATCCATATGAAGCGCAGCCACTCCTGAATCACGAACGAGGATGGTGGTCGGGAAGCACCCAGCTCAAAGCCCAGTCTTGGGAAATATAGGAGGCCCATACGTATACGTACATATGTGTAGTTACTCACGTATAACTAAAAGGATCGTCAGTGAGATGAACAAGAATGGATGTGTGTATGGTTTCCATGCAGGAACAAAAAAAGTAGCCAGAGGGAAGAGGCAGAAGAAAAGGATTTGAAAAAAAAAATAAAAAAAATAATAGCGAAAGCTCTGACCCCCATTATTTCACGAAGCAAAATAGGAGGATGGGGAGAGGAGATCGAAAGATAGAAGAGGGACGAAGAAAGAACGGACGTAGGAGTAACTAATACGAAAATTCGAAAGAGCTAGGGCACGTATTGATTCCATATCTCAGAACACTGTATGCGTATAGTGTTTTAATGACAATCAGTTTTTTTTCCCTTTTTTTCTCTACGACTACGTTTACACGGCGGTCTTAAACCCGTTTAATTAATACTGATCTAGAGGAATTGACCAATCCCAAATATTCCTTACAAGTAGAAATTTCTATGATCTATCTATTACTTTAGATCGGTATTAACTAAACCGGTGTAAGACCGCCGTGTAAACGTAGTCTGTGATACTAATTGACAAACAGATGCATTGAATCTCACCGGTTAATTGGATGCGACCCACGTTGCTGCTCACCACTGTTTCCTGAGTGAGTCGATGATGAGTCCTACAGCGGTACGTCATCTGAGAGTCACTTCGTGATATATTGATTATCATCAATTCGCCACTTGGAAGCATGTGGTACTTGCCATCTGTAATTATAAAATATTCGTTTATCAATAATAGCGTATTTTATTACATTGTTAATCGTTATGAAAAATTTTATTTGATATCTTAAAGAATTCAACGTTACACGCAGACAATCCTGTTGAATTTGTTCCTCAGAACATTTTAGAACAAATACTAGCAAATATGGTACAGTCGAGATGTACTTGAAGTACAGTAACAATTATAAGTCGAATCTAGAGAAAAGTGTCATGTAAAAGTCGTGCTCTTATACGACAATGTCCACTGTGGCAAAACAGGTTTACTGCGTAATAATATTTGTTAGACGGGGAAATATGAGTATTTGTAGATACTGGTATACTCGAAGTATATTTCATAGCACTGAGTCTACATTACGGATTGACGTACTAGTTAGAAAATCTACTTACACACTGGATAGAACCATATACATATAGTTTATTCCCGAGTAAAATAGTTTTTAGAGGGGTCATCTTCCTGTCACTTTTAAGGTAAAATAGTCCCCTAGACAGGTTTTAGAGGCAGGTGAAGGCACCATGGCTGCGGTGAAAACCTTACCATTCCTATGCAAGCACTTAGACACTGTTTCGATAGAATTGATGAAGAAAATATTTAAAAAAAGGAGAACACAGGGACCGGGAAAATTGTACAAGGAATGTCTCTCTATCGCTCTAAAAATTTTTACGATACTACAAAATCTAATTATAAAGCATAAAATTGTCCTCCCTTAAAGATTTTGTGATGACCAAAGCTAGTCGTAATTCATTGCCAGTGATGCTCATTCTTCCCATGGGATCTTTAATTAGTCAGTATTTTAGGTCCTGTAATGAGAAGTGTAATTGGTAACTTTTGTCTCCTATGTAACAAACTGCTGGGAAACACTGCTGAGACGTCATACAAACGTGGAAAAGTATGCACCACGCGTCACGCGTATTTCTACTACTGGCCACGAGCTAAGATAAGTTGCGTCACGTCAGAGTTCAACGAGCACACGATTCCCCTAAATAGACAATTTATATTTGCTGGCCCCTGCACCCTACAGTTATCAATAATTCTTACGTAATGGTAAATAAGAATGTTTTACAAATCGCATTATAGAGCGTCCTGGGTTGAAGCAAGTTCACAGTAATTTTTATCACAATTCTGTAGTAGAAATGTAGACGAGCGATCTACATGGAGGAAAAAAAAAAAGAAAAAAAGTGAATGACGGTAAAAAAAGGAGTCGAAAGAGGGAGAAAAAATCCAGTAAAGTAAGAGTACAGAGCAAAAAAGAGGCAGAACAAAGAAAGGTAGAGGTGGAGGGCACAGCTACCCTCTCGCGAGCAACGACCACAGCTAGAAGTTGGAAAAGTAATAACGTCGATTAAAGTTTGCGAGCGAGTACGGGACTCGATTTTTATTTTATTTTTTTTCAATTCGTTCTCCATCTCCCTCAAACCCACGTGAACTTATTTTTTGCCATACCGAGATTATTGTTACCGCGTGCTCTGCGGGTGGTACTGCAGGTACTGCACGTTCCTGCAGTGTCGTAGATACAGGCAATAATTCTGGGTAGCTACTCAGATCCCTTTGGAATTGTGCGGGGCCCTTTTTGCAGCCCTATGGGCTAAGATTTGTTTGCACGTATAAAAAAGAAGGAGCATAAAAAAGGGTAGAAGAAGCCAACCAAAAGTCCCTGAATGAGGTAGAAATTCAAGAGCAGTGGTATCCCAATGAAGGAGAAGGGTGAAAGGTTCAAGGAAAAGCAGGTAGGTACCTTCCAAGTGAAAAAGCAAGAAAGAGCCAGACGTTTCAAGATTCGACGAAGAAATGAACAAAGAATTCGAACAGAATGGCTACCTGAGTACAGTGGTGAGGCAGACTACTATAAGGTATGTACATACCCTCCTATTAGACATAGCAGGTATAGCAGGTAGCAGGTAGGTAGGTGATTGGTAGAAGGTGAGTAGCCTAACTTACAATTAGTGTTTGCCAATGATCATGTTTCAAGCTCTAATCAGCTTTCACGTTAAACCTGCCGGAGGAAAGACGAAGAACGGATAAAAGTGTATACCTATGGAAGTGAGGATAGAGAATGGCGTCTCTTACCTTGGCAATTAGTTTAACTGGAATTCTTGGACTCGAATAGATAGAAAAATCCGACACCAACCCCAGCACTATCAGTTTCCTCTTGGGGCAATTACAATACTTGGGTCCCCTGATGCTCCTAGATATCCGCTAGCAATTTCCACTACGTTTCTCATTCGCTTCTCTCTTCATACTGCCCTTATCGTACACACGATACCGTAATTCTCTTTTTTTTACTAGATGATCTAAGGGATCCCGAAGAAAAGGCTGGGAAGGAGGGGAATAAGAAGCGACGCGCGAAAGCTTTTCCCTTTGCATGCATTCCGAGTACATCGGAATATGGGATTCTACCGAGGGCGATTTTTCATTCTGTAGAATCCCATTTACTTCTCTTATGCGCAGATCCGTTTTGTAGATGAACACCTAGGTGTACACGGACGAGTCGGATAGATTGAAAAAAATACTCTAGCCACTTAATTTCCTTGATCCCCCAAACGGCACACGAGACACTCCAGCTGCGCATGAATTCACCATAAGATTAATATACGTTACCTGTCCGCTTGCATTTCTCAAGCGTTGAAAAAGCGCACAAGAAATGCCAGAGTGCAGGCATTACTCACCACTCATTGTGGATGGATAAATATTAAATGACGGTTCCTGAAGCCAGGACGTAACGGCGACGTGATCTCGTACGAAGCTCGGCACGCTGCAACGCATCAGCACGTTATTACCAGGAAATCCACCAGGACTCTGAACCTCCGGATCGTAGCGTTGATTGACCACTGAAACATATTAAAAGAAAAAACTACAATTACTATCATTATTATTCGATAATTAATTAAGCAAATCGGGGTCTTAGTAATCGAACACCAAGTTTTATATCAAGGGTTTCTCAAGACACTCCTTCCCTATCTGTGTACCCCTATGTGTGAAGGAAGCAAAGGGGGCAACCCTATAAGGTAGAAAATATAAGGTCTCCAAGGTTCGGCGAGACTTACTGATGACGGTAAGCTCGGCGAAAGGTTCTCAACCGAGGGAGAAGATTGTGTACAGAGAAGAAAACGAGAAAGAGAGAGAGAGAGAGAGAGAGAGAGAGAGAGAGAGAGAGAGAGAGAAGTATAAAAAGAGTGACTGAGGGAGAACCTGGGTATACATAAGGCAGAGTGGTAGACGATATAGCCAACCGGAGCTACAGGGTTTTGCAACCCGTTTCGAGAGTCAGCCAAGCGAGGCACTCAGACTCTAGAATGGGGTAAAAACCTCTGTGAATTCGCTATCGCTGGTACTGGTGGCGTACCGTGGTCTGTACTCTGCAACTGTGCTGTACACTGTACATACTATATCCAGATAGCAGAAGCAATGCAACGTGCTGCCACTGCTAGCCTCAGTACCAGGCCTCACCTGGCGATGGTGCTGCTTTACGTATCGCGAAGACTCACGAATGCGCTCGACAGGCAAGCCGAGCATAAAGCGACCTGGGTCCCGACATTTCGTGTGGCAGGTGATATTTACGAACCATGAAAAATGCGAAATACCCCAGCTAACTCCTCCAGTTAAGAGCGTTGATCTTCATTTCTGTGTCCTCTCTCTTTCGCTCTCTTATACCTTTTATTTATTCTCTTCCTTTCTCTGTCAATCTGCAACCTCACTATCTCCTCTTTACCTTGCCCTTACACATCCACGTTCTCTGTATTTACGTCTCTTTTTAGTTTCTCGTTTTCTTTTCACTCTGTCTCACGACGTCTAGTGTATGCGTAGCGTGGATCAAAGAGCGAAAGAAAGAGGCAGAGATAGAGGAAAATTTTACATGATTTTGATTTCTTGCGACGGAGAGATTCTTGGGAGATGTTTCATTTTTTTTCCAGAAACAGCCACTATACAGTCGGTACTTGTCTGGAGGATAGGTACTGGAGTTATTTATGCTCGAAAAGACGTTATTTGGAATATATCTCGTAAGGTGCTAGATATACGCGTGCATAGGGAATTTATGAATTCTTTGGGACTCTATTTTTATTAGCCTTTGCTATTTTCTTTCCTATCGTGACTTATACATGACTGATAGAAATAGTCGACGTTACCATGAGGGTAGCAGGCATACCTTATTCTACTAGGATCTTATGTCTTCCAGCTAATAGTATTACCTACGGTAACCCCTTTTTATTCTCTTTTCTATGTCTCGTCCCTTTATAAAAGTGCCAACGAAATCGGGGAATTATCTGGCCCCCCACCGGAAGAAGGGTGAGTGTCGCGTTTCCGATATTCACCGTCAAGTTCGAACGACCTTCCCCTCC